GCATCCATGAGATCTGCTGCACATATGAGATGGCATAATGATCACATTCCACAAGAAGGTGTTATCACACATCCATTAGAAGTAGAGGCTTGGAGACACTTTGATCGTACACATCCCACATTCGTGGCAAACCAAGAAATATAAGATTAGGTTTTTGCGCATATGATTTTACTCTACTTTAAGTTAGTCTTCTATATCGTACTCATATTGGCCCATGATACTCACTCCTTACAATCTTCCTCCAGAGTTGTGTATAAATACTCCTTATATATTTCTGACACTTATCATTCTAGGGCCATATAATCTAAAAGTGAAGATTGATGTATTCTTACAACAGTTAATTTATGATTTAAGTTTATTATGGGAAGAGAGAGTAAATACATATGATATCTCAACCAAACAGAACTTCACACTGAGAGCAGCATTACTTTGGATAATTGATGACTTTGCAGCATATGGTATGCTCTCAGGTTGGAACACTTCAGACAAGGTAGCTTGTCCATATTGTATGGAACATACAAATTATTCACTTTAAAGTATAGTAGGAAGAACACTTAATTTGATTGTCATCGCATGTTTTTACCTCCAAATCATCCTTTCAGGCGAAATAAAGATGTCTTTACTAAAAATAAAATGGTGATATTTCAACCTCCTCCAAGATTAATTCGTGAAAATTTTTTTGAATGAGTCAGGTTCATGCCAATCATAATGAATTCTCTAATATTAGCTGAGTTCAAATTGCCAGGATATGGTGTCAACCATAATTGGACCAAGAAAAGTATTTTTTGGTCGTTACCATATTGGAGAACAAATCTGATTAAATATAATTTGGATGTTATGAATATAGAGAAAAATATTTTTGATAATATTTTCAATACAGTTATGAACATCAAAGATAAATCAAAAGATAATATAAAAGTAAGGATAGACTTAAAGGAGATTTGTAGGTGGAAAGCATTAGAATTGAAGGATGGTGGAGGTGAAAACATTTCTCAAATCAAAGCTCCATTCACATTAACTTTAGAGCAAAAATGAGAAATTTGTGAATGGGTGAAGACCCTACGAGTACCTGATGGATATTCTTTCAATCTAAGTAGGTGTGTTGACATAAGATCAGGGAGATTATTCGGATTGAAAAGTCATGATTATCACATCTTCATGCAATGTCTACTACCACTGCTTTTAGTTATCTGTCAGATTAAATTTTAAAGCCCTTGATCGAGCTAAGTTTATTCTTCAAATATTTAAGCTCTTCTAAACTAAATTTAGAGAATTTGATTATTATGGAGAAGCAAATTCTTTTCATTCTGTGTCAACTTGAGAAAATATTTCCTCTAGGATTTTTTGACTTTATGGAGCATCTACCAGTACATTTATCATATAAGGTTACGGTCGGTGGACCTGTTCAGTATCGGTGGATGTATTCTTTTGAGAGATATTTAAATAAACTTAAGAAGACCGCTAAGAATAAAGGAAGACCTGAATGCTCTATTTATGGCTCTATCTGTGAAGCATATTTAACATATGAGACAACTCAGTTTTTCTTGTATTACTTTGAAATAATATCTCAATCATGTGAAAGTACAACACCTCAAAATGTTGATAAATCCTCTAATATATCTGTATTCGATGGAAGTGGTGAACCTGTAGGCGCTAGCACCATGTATTATTTGACCGATAAGGAGATGACAATTATCACATTGTATATCTTACTTAATTGTGATGAAGTTGAGCCGTATCTCGAGTAAGTATGAGTTAATTTATTCTTTTTTTTATTATTCTTATAAACTTTGTTTTAAACTCAAAAGTTTGTAGGAGGTTCATTGATGGTTTAAGTACATTAGAAGAAGGAGAAGTCTAGAAGATAGTGGAGAAAAAATTTACTTCTTGGTTTAAAAATACGGTATATTTTAAATAATTAGTCTTAATTTTTTAGAACTGCATGCAATTAATATTAATAATAATAACATCTTGTTCATTTAAAGGTATACATTGAAGACAGTGATTCACAATATCAAAGGCTATTTGAGTTAGCTTGGGGACCAAATAGATTAGTTAAATATTATCAAATATTTTTTGTCAATAATTATAAATTCCAAACAAAAAATTGGTGTGAAGGTAGGAAGATATAAAATTCTGTCGTATGTCTAAGAGGGAACATCCATATAGGGGATAATTCTGAATACTACGGGGTATTATAAGAAATATTAGAGGTGGAATATCCTGGTCACAGGAATATTGTGTATCTCTTTAACTGTGAATGATTTAATCTAATACAAAATAGAGGCAAAATAATACATCCAATTTACGGTCAACAGAAGTAAAGCGAGGTAGGAGATATGCAAAGTTTGACCCATTCATCAATACTAGTCAGGCAACTCAAGTCTATTATGTTAACTATCCAAGCAGAATACGAGGCAAACATGATTGACTGGTAGTTATGAAGACAAAACTAAGGGGAGTAATTGAGAAAACCACTTCAATACCATCAGTACATCAAGAAGAGTTTATATCAAATTTAAAAAATCTTCCAATCAATGTGAATGGCCAAATCTGAATGAATCAGAGCAAGTTGCAGTTAGAGGAGGTAGATTTAACCATAGAGAAAAGTAATGATGAATCTGATAGTGCTAGAAATGTATCATCATATGAAAGTGAATCAACAAATGATGAGTTAACATAAGATAAATTAAAATTTTTTGTTTCTTCACTGCATTTATTTTATTGTTACTGCACTGCATTTTATTTTATTGTCATTGTTGCATTATTTTATATTATATTTTTGTTATAACTCATATTTCTAATATTTCTTATTTTTTCTGTGTAGATGACTTCAAGAGAAGAGCCTATCAGAGGATTGACCAAAAATATTTTTAATAGGCACACCAAGAAGATCACTATAGTTGGACCATCTAGGATAGTACGTAATAAGGGGACCACTTCGTCTCAGCATGCTATAGAGTCTCAGCCTAGTATACAGTCTAAGCCTACCACTCAGCCTTTATCCACTCCTGTAGTAAGTAGCCCGCTGTTCTACTCAGCAGACCCCCGATTTCCTTCACCAGATCACGCATAGAGTACTTCTTTCTTCCCATACTATGCACCCCACTTTATGCCGGTGCCCCTTCTACTTATCCATATCCACCATATGTTCTACCATACTATCTCCCACCACCCCCTCAGCCTACTACAGCTGGACCTTTAAGACCAGCTGCACCAAAGCAGGCGACAGATGTTCGAATGTTGATAGCACCTGAGGGTGTCACGTACGTACATTCTCTTTTATTTAAGCTAATGAACATATTTATTTTATATTATATATTTGTCTCACATAACCTTATTTTTGTAGGTTCTTATAATCAAAACAACCGACACATAAAATACGAGACATCATACGGACTAGGTTTGATGCTCCATACGTTTATTGGAAGAAAGTCCCGAAAGAAGTTCGAGAAATGTGGTTTAGAGAGTTTGAGGTATTTTTGGATATTATTTTTTATGTTATGTCTAATTAAATAATTTATTCTTTTTTACTTAAGCTAACAAACATATATATTTTATATTGTATGTATTTGAATGCAGAAAGATTTTTGTTGACTGTCCCAGCACAATGATAAAATTAGAAAAAAAATTTAGAAGCGTGGGTCCACTCGGATGCGTGACATGTTCACAGATATTAGAAAGTCTGGCGAGCGACCATTGTGGATTGGAGAGACTATATGGGATAAGTTGAACACTGCTTGGGGCAGCATAGAGTATAGCAGGAGGAGGGATCAAAATTGACAAAACAGAGCATTTGATGTTGGGGGCTTGTGTAGTTCCCTTCATACTAACGGCTCCGTTCCACATACTGAGCACATGCGACGTTTGGTAATGAATTTTAATTTTTTTTTTAAATTTTCCTTTAATACAAATATTAATAGAATTCTCTAACACAAAGAGATGTTGGGTAGAGAACTAACTCATATGGAATTGCATAGTCACACTCATAAGCGATTTGAGGATCAACAATGGATTGTTGAGGAAGCAAGAAAAGCCCATGAAAGTATATGTGTTTAATAATTTCTATTTTTAGTTTAATTATATATATTTATATTCTACTTTCACAGGAGGAGTATACACGGTTTCGAGAGAGTCAGGCTGCATCAGGTGAAGGTTCTTCTGGCGGCTCTGAGGAGTATTCTAAGTACCACATCTAGTCGCAAGCCATTGGAGGAATGCAATCTGGTAGAGTTTATGGTTTAGGTTTGCAAGCTCAGGCATATGAGGGGATGAGCTCTACTGGATCCAACTTCGCATCCAGTTCACATGAGTCCTTACATACTCAACAAATAACTGCCCTTCAAGCAGAGCTAGAACAAGTAAGGAAATCACAAGTTGATTGGCAAGTTCAGTTGCAAGCACAGGTTCAAATGCAGATGCAGGAGCTACATAATCAGTTGTTGGATGAAATGCTCAAAATGAGGGAGCAGTTGAGTGGAAAAGAGGTAGCTCCAATTTTTATTTCGCCGTAAGTACCAACGAAAATAGTGCCAGAAAAAGTCGTAGCTTTTAATTACGGCGCAACTTACGACATTTAATCCGTCGGTGTTTTCGGCACAAAACGGGAGCCGGAAACAAGTCGCACATTTAGTTAAGGCACACCCTACGGCATTTTATCAGCCGGTGTTTCCTGCGGATATGCTGGCGGATATAATGCCGGTAAACCCTGGAAAAAAGACGCCGTTTTTCTAACACAATTTGAGCCGGTAATGCGTCGAAACGTGTGCCAGAAATATTTCCGGCGTCTTACATACGTCGGAAGACTTTTTCCGATGCGCTTCAAACCGGCGTATGATATTTCAACGAAAATGCGCCGGAAACCAGGAGTTTCATGCGTATTTTACTGTTTACCATCGGAATTTGTGCGCCGATAATAACGGGATTTCCCGTTGTGGATCCTTCACTTCTTATCTTTAGTCAGCATGATACACAGATTTTACCAACTTATATACGTGGATGACATCTTTCTAATGGGCAACAACCCATCTGCCATTTCTACTCAACGACAGATTCAATATGAAAACTCTTGGTCTGGTACATAACTTCTTAGGCATCAACATCACCCATACAATAATTAGTATTTTCTCTCCCAATAAGGTTACGCCCTATCCATTCCACAATAAGCCAACCTCACTAAATGCAATCCCCTCTCCAATCCAACCTTCACCAAGTTACCCACAAAACTTTCCATGGATCCTCTGCTTTCAGATCCCACACTATATCGTCGACTCACGGGCTTACTACAGTACCTCATGCTAATGCGTCTAGATATCGCTTGTGTTGTCAATATCCTCTCCCAGCATATGCACAACCCTTAGCAATCAGACATTTATCTTCTTAAATATAATATTTGATATATCAAAGGTACGTTATCTCATGACATACCCATCACTAAGAGCCCTCTATCTCTCACATCATTCCCTGATATTGACTAGGCCAGCGACCTAGTATCTCAAAAGTCTACATCTTACTACTATTCATTCCTCGGCAGGACACTCCTATTCATTAAGTGTTAAGAAGCAACACACCATTGCTAGATCATCAATGGAGTTTAAGTATAGAGCTCTCGCAGCAGCCACCATAGACATCCTATGGCTTCGACATATACTTTGTGACTTCATGCTTCCTCCCTTGTACTGTAATATTATGTCTGCCATCGATCTCACGGATAATTTGATATTTCACGCGATTTAAGTATATAGATAGAGATCACCGATTTTTTAAAGATCATATACACAACAACATTTGCATACTCCCCTCAGCACAGTCGATCAGGTGGCTGACATACTCACCAAACAACTACTTAGTGTTTCTCATTTCTGCCAGACAGGTTAACGGTGACTCAAGACACTTTTATAAAGTCCGCATAGGTTGCTAAACCTATGCTAATGTCCTAAAGCTAACCAAGAGGGTGAATTTTTATTTTAAAAATTCTCTTGGTGGTTAAGGAAAAATCAATTTTTATATTTTTTACAAAATTAATTTTTCAACCACAAACACTAAAATGCTGAAAAAATAAAAAATACATAAATAAAATGAACACAAAAAATTATAGTGGTTTGGTCTAATAAGACATACGTCTACTACCTGAAGACTCTCTCTTCAGGTACTGCACTATTACCAAAGTGACTCTCCTTTTGCCCCCATAGCAAGGCAGAGAAGCCTTTATAAATTTTCTCTCTTCCACCAATTCCCAGTGCAGCAAAGAATCATCATCCTTTCACACCCTCCAAGCGTCGACAGAGAACCGACTGAATTCTGAACAATTTGAGGTATTATGGGTATTGTTCGGATTTATGAATAATTTTTAATCAATTTCCAAAGAAATCGACTTTAAAAAAACAATTTAAAACTAATTTTATTTAACTAAAAATGGCAGCGGCGACAGTCAGGCCACGCGCCGCAACGATACTGGTAGGTCAAACAGCAGGCAGCGGCGGGCCACATGGGTAAGGTTCAGTAAAGTTTAGTACCAAATAAAAAACTTTTATGGAAACCAAAGAATACCAAACACCGATAAAAAAAAAAGCCACAACAAACCCAAACCAATAAACCACAGAAAAAACCCATAAAATAACCAGCACAAAAAGCCAAGACAAAACAATACTACCCAACAAACCAACACAACCAAACACAAACCAACAACCCCTAACCCCAACAAGGCCACAAACCCTAAGAAACAAAACACCCAAAAAAAACACCCCAAAAACCATACAAACAAAACACAACACCCACCAAACCAACAAATTAAACACAATGGCCACCAAACACCAACCCCACCAAAACATACCAAAAAAAAAATAGCCACTCAACCCAACCACCTACCAGCACCAAACACCACAAACCCAAAATCAACACCACTAAAAAAACAAACAGGGTTTAAGGTTTAGGGTTTAGGGTTGAGGGTTTAGGGTTTAGAGTTTAGGGCATAGGTTTAGGGCTTAGGGTTTAGGAATTAGGGTTTTAAGGTTTTAGGGTTTAGGTTTTAGGGTTTAGGGTTTAGGATTTAGGGGTTTAGATTTCAGGGTTTAGGGTAATTAAAGCACAACATTTATATGTTCTGGTGAAGACGGTTTGTAATTCAGACTTATAATAACTCCTGAAATAACGATTGACCGTTCTAGGTAAAAAAATAAAAAATGAATTAAGGTTTTTCACACTATCCCTGGCTTTTTTAATTTGTTTTCTTTTGGTTGGTGCTAGGCTACTTGGTTCCTGGATTATGTATTATGTTACTAATTATTCTCTTATTGAGTCTTCTTTCATGCAGGTATTGGAATTTTATGGTTCTTTTTGTTAGGTATTCTTTTTTTTTTTAGTTTTAATATTTCTTTCTGCCATTAAAAGAGAAGCATAATACTAAGTTAAGTGTGGCAGAGATGAGGATGCTTAGATGGATGAGTGGCTTTACTTTTAGAGATAGGATACGAAATGAGCATATACGTGAAAAGGTTGGAGTAGCTCCAGTAGAAGGTAAGATTAGAGAGAGTCGCCTTAGATGGTTTGGTCACATAAAAAGGTGGCCTTCCGATGACCCGGTTAGGAGAGTAGAGGTATTAGATTTGACTTGTGTTAAGAAAGGTAGGGGTAGACATAAAAAGACTTGGTTAGAAAATATTAGGAATGACCTTTCTTTATTAGATTTAAACGAGAATTTGACTTTTAATAGAACACAATGGAGAAAAAGGATTCATGTAGCCGACCCCACGTAGTGGGATAAAGGCTTGATGTTGTTGTTGTTGTTGTTGTTGTTTTAATATTTCTTTCTTTTACGGTTTCAATAATTTTTTAGTTTTAATATTTTATAACTAGTAAGGGATCTTAGACTCCATATATTTTATTTTCTTTTTGCTTGTAGCTCCTTGAGCATTTATTGAGTTTTCAATCTCTTTTATGTACCTTTTGTAATATTTTTTTTTAATCAACACGTAAGCTCTATATGAGTTTTATCCAAAAAAAAAAAACTTGATTGTGCATTTCAAACAAATCAATTTCAAGTACATTGAATGATATCCATTAAGAAATTTTTTGTTCAGTTTTTTATTCTTGTAAATATTTTCGAAGCTTTTTGCCAAGATTTTGATCGAATAGAAAGAAAAATCTTGAATTTTAGATTCATGACGTCTAGCCAATGCCATTATATCAAAAAGTGAGGTAGGTTTTTCAATTAAGAGTCTCTGAAATATTTCTTTCTTAAGGACAGAAATAAAATAACTAATGAGAGTGGATTCAAACATATTAGGGACTTAAAGGCAATGTTTTCGAAGGCAATTTGGTATTCCATAATAGAGTTTTGTTAAGTTAATTTGGAAAGAGTGCCACCTAAATCATCTTAGGTAGAAATCTAAATCATTGTTGTAAGGAAATCATAAAATTAGTCCAAGAAAGTAACTATCATTTCATTCTTAACCATTGATAACAACAGGCGGCGAGGCCTTCAAATTGAAAGGAATTAATTTGTACACGATGAATTCGCACAAAAACAGACTTTCTCTTTCTTTTTCCTTTATAACTCTATCCTTGGCTTTTTCCTATTAGTTTTTCTTTTTGGTTAGTGTTAGGCTACTCGGTTCCCGACAATGAACTTGTTAGCTTAATTATGCAGCATGCGAATAGTAAAACTAACGACTACATGCTCAAAGAGTGTTAGCACTATCGGACCAAGCTTCCAATCCTGAAGAAGTTTGGTGAAAGCATGGTCAGGTTTACAGTTATTTAATACAATACTCATCTTCTTCATAAAATCTAGTTGATGAATAGTTTGCTTCTGAAATAAGATTATTTTCAACGGTCAATTTTCTTTTTCTCCTTAATTTTATTACTCATTTGTAGGCTACTCAGTTCATGGCTTATGCATTCTGCTGCTAATTATCCCTGGCTTTTTGTTGCTACCCAGTGTTAGTGGCTACTCAATTGGTTGTATTGTTGGTGAGTGGTCCTTTTGGGTTAATTTGTCTTGTCAGCTTGTTGTTTTCGAGGTGTGGGTTGTTTGCTTCAGGCTTACTTTATCACTAGGTTAATGTGGGGATTTTTGGGTTTGCTTGTTGTGGGAGTATTTCTGTTGGTTTTCTATGGTTTTCTCAGTTTGTTATTTTATTAATGAGGGCTTTATGGTTTTTTGTTGCCTATCAAGTTTAGGCCTTTGGTGTTTGCACGAGGGGTTAGTTTTTTTTCTGTTGATGTGCTGCATCTTTGAGATATTTAAGTTTTCTCCTCCTACATTGGGTGGAGGTGGTGTTGCTCCTTTTTTTCTATTTCTCCTTATTTAATGTTGAGGTGCTCTGTGTCATAACCCACCCCTATCATGACATGTATTATCGTGTTGAGTTGTGACAGACAAAACTCAAGATCTAATATTAGAATGTTTTAGATTCTCTTCCAATCATTTTAAATAAACTACATATTATAGAGCTACTAAACATCCACATACTGAAAATAAACTCATCTACAAGATTTTTTTTTCATTTTATCAAAATGTATATATACTACAGTACATAACTACATGTACATGACTACATGTAGAAGCTATATAAATTAATAATAATTATTCATGACTGCACAAAAACTAAAATAGAGAAATACCTATAAACTCGGATATGATCTTGAATTACTAATCAATATTTTCCTTTCCCTTCCCAAATCCTAAAAGCTAGAATCAAAATAACAGTGAGCTATAATAGCTCAGCAGCCACAATCTGATCTACAATTTAAATTCTTTTATTAACATTTTTATTGAATATTTTAATGCAGTCTATTAAATCACTTTGCCAAGAAATATAATAAGAGCATAACACGTATTTAATTATTTAAATAAAATTAATGAGTAGATAAATAAATTGCAATTCATATTATTGAATATTTCATAATACATTCCTATGAACTAAATAGAATCTCAAATGATTCTAGTCATC